GAGGGAATTCAGAATCAAAGTGATCACTTTGAAAGACTAAGTTTCCATTTGCCTGGTCTTTGTTAAGTTTTATTTTTACAACTTTTGTAAAATACTCAGTTCTAGTCAAAAAGGTCTGAATAACATCTCTTGAGAATGTGACAAAGTAATAAATTTATCTAAGATGTTGTTTTTGTTAATTTAAGTCTATCTTACCAAAGCATTACTGTACACATTGAAAACAAAACCCCGGGGCTGCTTGTTTTATGTGGTGTTGTATAAGCCCAGGTTCTAAGCCAGCCTCACAAACAGTGACTGTTTGCGGGTTTCCTGTTTTGCTCTGTGTTTGCCTCAGGAAGCCTCGGCTGTCATTTGCTGTCAAATCAAGACTGCTTCTTGTGAGTTTGGCTCCCAGCAACTACAATGAGAAATTTTTGCAGAAATGTCTATTAGAAAAGGTTAAACTTTATTTTGATTGCTGTAACAAAACTCTAAAAGATTCCCCCCCCAAATTGCTCTTTAGACTATCTTATGAAACAGACAAGACAGGGTTATAAAAATGTACCTATTTTTCCTACCTCTGGATTGTTCTATTACATTAAATGACAACAAATCTTCTTAAAAGTTATTCTGATTGGTTTAGTGGTAAATGGTGTGTATAAAAATTAGATAGACCTAATAGTCCCAGGAATCAATATAAATAAATGTATAGTCATAGAGTTATATAGTCTATAAATAAATTTATAGTCATAGAGTCATAGAGTCTAAGTCACTTAAGCTAGATACCAGGGGGGGAAAAAAGCTAGGTAACATATAAAAAGTTTTAGGGAAAAAAAGTTACTTTTATTCATGAGAAGAAACCTCACCAAGAAAATATAGATTTTATTTTTTGAAAACATAGATTTTAGTAAAACTTAAACAAATGAAAAATACTGTCTTAATATAGTTACCCAAAATTAATTAAAATCATACATGGGCAAATCTAAGGTTAAAGTATAAAATATATATATATATAAAAGTTTTAAAATATGGATAGACTATTTAGATTAACTTCACTCTAGCAATAATTATATTTTACAATATGTAGGCTCAAAAAGATTTCTATGACTTTTTTTGTAACTTACTGATAGTAAATTACATGAATATTCATCAGAATAAAAATGTATAAGCTCTTGCTTTTTATGCCACAATGAAAAAACCCAGGTATTTAAATGTAGTAATGAGCTGTTTGCTTTTGCCATTTAAAGCGTTGTGTGATAAAAGACATGTACTGATAATAGAATATTTCAAAGGCTATTTTCTAATCAAATTTTTATCTGTCCAGCTAAAAATTTAATGTCAAATAGCACACAAAACCAAAAAAATTAAGTTTTTTACTGTCTAGATAAATTTTTCTTTAATTATTAGGTTAGTTTGCATATGTTTATCAGGAGGGACTAAACCAATTCCTGGAGAAATGATATCGAAATATTGACCTATTTAAATTTTAACTAAACACTATTCTTTCCCCAAATCCTATTATTATCTGGTCTCCATTTTTATAGGTGGCTCCTCTGATAATGCCCTTTCTGTAGCAAGTTAATAAACCTAGTGTTGGTTGAACTACAGGCAGTGGGTACTGGCGATGGCTCATATCAGCTTGTGAGAGCTGACTGTTGTGTTCAGGAGTTTTGCAAGCTGATGGAAGGTTGCACTGAAGCAGATCGTAACGGTGGACATATTTACACCATGGGAAATGGCGGATGCTAAGATCAGAGCTCTCTGTATCCCTCGAAGAGCCGCCGGCTGTTAAACTTTGATCATTCCACCACTGGCTGTGGGTACATCGGGGGGCTCTTTGTGAGATGAACTTGACCAGAGTCAAACTTAATTAATGGGTTCTGGACTCCCTATGCTTTGAAATGCCTAAAATACACCTTAATTATTGTGAGGTATTCTCAGGTTGGCCTCTGACTTATGCTGGCTTACTACCCAACAGAACAGAGTGTGGCCCAGTCCTGTGCCATTCCCCATGATCCTTTGGGAACAAGCCTGTTGTGGTCCATCGGGACTTCAGGGCGATTTTCAGAAGTAGATCTCCAAGTCTTTCCTCCTGGTTCACCTTAGTCTGGAGGCTCTGCTGAAAGAACCTGCAACATCGTAGCAACCTGCACCCTCCACCGACAGATGGGCAGAGGCAGTGCCTGAGGAGCTGTGGGCCGGGAATGAAACTCGGTTGCTTGCGGTGGAAGCAGAGAATTGTACCTCTGAACCACCCGAGCCTTCATGGATGTATTAGACATTAAAGAGTACACAGGAGAGTGTCCTTTGAGAGAGGGAGCTGCAACTGTCCTCAACTAGGAATGGCCCTGCTGCCTACCTGTCACCGACGTAGGAAGAGTGCTGGCCTTTTTCAGCTGCTCTCTGCGCTCCAGCCGCGCCACTGCCGTCTCGGTGGGCTTCCTCTCTTCTGCTGCCAGAGCTGCGGACCTGTGCAGAGAACCAGCTCTGCTGCTGCTGCTTTCAGCCTGAGAGCTGGCGCTGACCTGGGTGCACAGAGAACGCGCCATGAAGCAGGCTCTCCAAGGAGGACATAGACCTCAGGGTCGCTGCCTGCCAGCCCCTTCCACTCTGCTCCCAAGTGGGGCTTGGACTGCATTTGGAGCAATGGGTGCCCCACCTGCCCCTGAAAAAATGGAACAGCTCAATATTCAAACGTGTCAAAGACGGGGTGCCATTTTCCTAAAAGCACCACATGGAACCGAACCACAAAGCCTGGGCCACAGAGGAAGACTCCTCTCAACTCACTGCTCCAAGAAAACCACTTTCGGATTTCTCATAGAACCGTGTGCACGTGACCCGCTGCTCCTCGAGTGAGCCTGACTCCCGGGGCGCGGTGCACAACGGAATCAAGAGCTTCCGGGGCCTGTGCCATCATCCCCAGGACCAGCTGTGGACTGGATGGTTCTGATCCACAGGGTTTTCCTCGGCTGATTTTCAGATTATCGTCAGAATGCTCCTTAGAGGCAAGGACGGTGAGACTTTGTCTAGCATACTTAGGACGTGGTGCCAGGAGAGACCAGTCCACGGAGAAGGACATCATGCTTGGTAAAATATAGGGGCAGCGAAAAAGAGGAAGGTCCTTCAGGAGATGGATGGACATAGCGGCTGCCACCATGGGCTCAAGGATAGGGACAATTGTTAGGATGGCGCAGGGCCGGGCGTTTGTCGTTCTGATGTGCAGAGGGTAGCTATGAGTTGGAGCCCAACTGATGGCACCAAGCCACCAGTGCTCTCTATCACTCGAGGAACACCGCGCAGGAAGGCAAGAGCCAAACAACCCAGCAGACGGGAAGCCACTCACGCTGTCCTTGGAGAGCCTCTCTGCCTGCTTGGCTTCTCTGGCTTGCTTCTTCTCCTCCCGCGTGGCTTGCTGCTCCCGGAAGCCCTTCTGCTTCTGCAGCGCCAGCGTGATCCACAGCGGCTGCGCGGCCTCCGCTCTCTCCGTGAGCTTAGAGCCATCTAAAGAGTGTCTGCTCTGAAGTACCGGCTTTTCTGGGGGGAAAGACACAAGCAGGCTTGCAGCGAGACTAGTTGCTCCTCCCTGAGCTCAGCCCCTGAGCCCGAGACTAAGTGAGGGGCCCCTTCCTTCCTCTCTGTTCAGGATATAATCACCTACCTGTCCCTTCCTGATACAGACACCCCGAGTCACTCCTCTGGGAGGGAAGGAAATATCTTCAATTAACAGGGAAATGGGCACATTGATTTTTCTTCTCCTGAAATGGAAGAAGCTACTGCACTTTGTACGGACAAATCACAGCTCCAGTGTCCTAAATCTCAGGCCTCTGGGAGAGGCTATTACTGGAGGTGCCCTTTAGAAAACTCAGGGTTTTTTGTTTGTTTGTTTTTAAGATTTATTTTAAGTGCTAGAAAAGTAAAACTGAGGTTGACTGGGAGTCCTGAGTGACAAGTTCATCTCAAACAAACAACACATAAATAAGATTTATTCTGAGCCATGGACACTTCCCTCACTGCTCTAAGCAGCATCCTGTGTAGAGCCTCAGAGTACAAGAGGCAAAGGGAGCACCACTCTGCCTTAGCAGGACTGTGGAGGGCCGCAGGGCTCGGAGGAGCCCCGTGGGAAACCCATGGTTTTGATCTAATACCCTCTTTTGACTGATGTGGGAAGCTGGGCCCACAGCAGCCCAGTGATGTGTCCAGGCTCACCCAGATTTAGCACATGGGCTGACGCTTGAGCCCACATCTGGTGACTTCCACTCTGTATTTTCTTGTGGTTGAGTCTTGTGTTGGGCGTCGGGGACAAGAACCACTCCCAGGTGGCTGGCACTAAAAGTTGAGTCACTGGGCTCCGGAAGGGAGCTGAACTACCACCCACTGCTGCCGAGTTGGTTCCAACTCACAGAACCAGGTGTGACCGTATGTGTACTGGAGAAGTGACTTCCCTTTACAACGTTGTTATTTTCTTCTCTGTCAGATGGAAGGCCTGGTGGTGTGGTGGTTATAAGTTGGTTGGGCTGCAAACCGCAATGCCAGCAGTCTGAAGCCCCCAGCTGTTCTAAGGGGAAAGATGTGGCTCTTTAAGCCCACAAAGAGTGCTCATCTCGGAAACCTGCAGGGGCAGCACTACCCTGTCCTATAGGGTGCGGAGTTGGAATCAACTCAGTGGCAGCGAGTGTTTGGGTTTATAACACGGGAATCGTTACCAGAGGAGGAAAACACGCGGAACAGCTTCCAAAATGCTGATGAAAAAAAGACTCACTGGGAACCCCAACCCAATCCTGTTGCCCTGTGATCACAGTTAAGCCTGGAACAGAACCACTATCCCCTGAAGTCAGCTTCAAACAAAACAAAGTTGAGCCCAAACTTGCGTAAGAACATTTGCTGTGAACAGGATTATCTGTATGAGATCAAAATGACAAGAGTCGCCCTAAGGCACGGATGAAAGTTTAGGGGGCAGTGGGTCTAAGTGCTGGAACGATAGTGGGAGAGATGGCGAGAACTGGGGCACAAGGTAAGGGAGTAACGGAGGCCCCTGGATGCTGCGTGCAGGTGTGCTGAATGGAGGACAGGTTCTGCGTGGCTTATTTTCAGACACACATGAGAAGCTGACAGTGGCAGATGCCTCATTAGGCTGTGGGCAGAGGAAGAGGGATCCTGTGGATGAGGATGCCCCGGATTCCTTTTCATCTTCCCCTAGACTCATGAGGTATGTTACAGTGCTGTCAGGCTAAGTATTGGGCTGCTCCTGCAAGGTCGGCAGTTCAAAACCCCCGCCACTCCAAAGGAGAAAGATGGGGCTTTGTACTCCTGTAAAGAGCTATAGTCTTGGACACTCACAGGGGCAGTTCTACTCTGTCTTACAGGGTGGAGATGAATTGGCATCAAATTGATAGTAGTGAGTTTGTTTGTTTGTTTACAATAACCAGTTGTCCTGCTGACAACTTGGACAGGATGTTCACCATAAGGCCAAATGCCCGTAAGGGCTCCTGGACAAAGCCCCTAACTGATGGAATTGGAAAACAAGAACGTTCTGTCCAGCTTTGCATTTCCTTGGTGTGAATGCAGCATCCTGAAAGAATGAGCAAGACTCTCCCGGCAGCGCTACTCTCACACGTGTAAGTGGCGCAACAGCTCAGCGTGGGGTTGGGCTCAGTCAACGTGGAAAGGACGTTCACATAGGATTCCTGTTCGAGGTCTGGCCCAGGATGCCCAAGAGTTCTGCCACAAAATCACCCGTGGCACACATTCTCCCATTCCAACTGGGATCCCCGACCCAGGTCCGACTGATGAAGTGGCTGAAGCAGCCCCTTGGGGCCACAGGAGACTCGGGATGGAGGCTACAGCAGGCAGAGCAGAACGTTTCTTTGGGAAAGACGGCTGGATTACGTTGTGTTTCTACACCCCTCCCTCCATAGGATCAAATTTTATCTCCCTCAACTATGTATTGCAAATCCTAATCCTCTATACCCATGGTGAAAGAGCTCTGGGCATGAAGTGTTTGAGGACTCGCTCAGCTGCTAACCCAAAGGTGGGCAGTTCACATCTACCAGCTGCTCTGTGGAACACAGACGGGGCAGAGCCTGCTGCTGAAATGATGACATCAGGAACACCCGATGGCGCAGCTCTACTCTGAGGTGCAACTCACTGCATGCAAGGGGTGGGGTTAGTATCCCTGTGGATATAATGCCATCTGGGGAAAAGGTTGTCTTTGTTAATGAGGCCAAGGCCAGGTCTTAAAACAGATCATCACCTTGAGATATGGTAAGAGTAGATAAGGCACAGAAGCAAGTAACGACCAACTGGGGAAAGGCAGCTGCCCAGTGAAGGTCTCCAAGGAAGGCCAACAAGAGCATTTGAGAAACGAAGGCAAAGATTTGCCACCGCCCCAGAGTGGCCAGAGCCTCCCCTAGAGCCAGCCGCCTAAACTTGAAGAGCTTCATTTCCTGTTCATTAAAGCCACCCATTTCTGCTATAGCAGCACCAGGAGACTCAGAGGGCAGGAAAGGGAGCTAAGTCCAGATAGACCACTCTGATGGCCTCTGGAGTATGTAAAAAGCTGAGGGCAAGAGGCTGAGGCTGGCTGCAGACCTGATGGAAGCGAGGAGAGGCGCTAGGTCTGGGGTGACTGCAGTTTCCGAGAGTTGGTGGGACAAAGATGGCTGAGTGGTGCCTGTGGTCCAGGAGGGCAGCCAGGACCTGAATGTTGTTGTTAGGTCCGTTCCCACCCACAGGAACTCTATGGCCCACACAACAAAACACGCCCCCCTCTGGGGCCAGCCTCACAGTTGTTCCCACGCTTCAGCCCATTGTTGTGGCCATGGTGTCGATCCACCTCCTTGAGGACCTTCCTCTTTTTCACTGCTCCTACACTTTACCAAGCATGACATCCTGTTCTCCAAGGACCAGTCTCTGACATTATGTCCAAAGTGTGTAAGATGAAATATCGCCAGCCTGTAATCTAACCGTACTTCTTGGAAGGCAGGTTTGTCTGTCCTTTAGCAGTCTATGGATTTGCAATATTCTTTGCCAGCACCTCAATTCAAAGACTCGATTCTTAATTCTTCTTTCTCCTTTATTCATTGTCCAACTTTCACATTCCATGTCTTCCTCTGACTCTGGCCTCAACTTTTGGCAGCTCCCCGTCAATGGACTACCGCTGTCTTTGCTGACCTTCAGCAAAATTTGACTTGTATGCGATATCAATGATAATTGTTCTATAATTTGAGCATTCTTTGGGTCATCTTTCTTTGAATGGGTACAAACATGGATCTCTTCCAGTCAGTTGGCAGGTAGCTGTCTTCCAAATTTTCTGGCAGAGATCGGTGAGTGTTCCCAGTGCTTCATTGGCTGGTTTAAAGATTCCAATTGGTATTCATCAATTCCTGGAGCCTTGTTTTTGGATAATGCTTTTAGCACAGCTTCTGTGGATTCTTATTCATATGTTGCGTCCTGAAATGGTGGAATGTTTAGTTTTTTTCGGGAGGAGGGGGTACAGTGACTAAATTCTTTCTATCTTCTTTTGATGCTTCTTGTATCATTCAATGCTTTGCCCATAATCTTTCAATATTATAATTCAAGACTTGAAATTTTTCTTGAGTTCTTTCAGTTTAAGAGAGGCTGAGTGTGTTCTTCCCTCGTTTGTCTAATTCTAGGTCGTTGCACATCTCATTATAATATTTTACTTTGCCTTTTTGAGCTCCACTTTGAAATTTTCTATTCAGTTCCTTAATGTCTTTATTTCTTCCATCTGCCATAGCTGCTCTACGATGATGAGCAGGTGTCAGTCTCTTCTGACATCCACCTTCATTTCTCCTTTCTTTCTTGTCTTTGAGTGACCTTTTGATTTTTTTCATGAATGTTGATGTTGTCTTCCCACAGTTCACCAGGTCTTCTGTCATTAATGTTCAGTGCAGCAAAGCTGTTTTTGAAGTTTAGGTGGGATAGATTCAAGGTTGTATTTTGGCTTGCATGGACTTGTACATATGAGCAACTGATGGTCTGTTCCAGTCAGCTCCTGGCTGGGTTTAGTTGCTGATATTGAGCCTCCCCATCATCTCTCCCTACAGATGTAATCAACTTTTTTTCTGGGTATTCCATTTGGAGAAGCCCTTGTGTAGAGTTGCCATTTGTGTTGGTGAAAAAGGTATTTCTATGAACAAGGCATTGGTCTTGTAAAATTCATGTGATCTCCAGCTTCGCTTCTATCACTAAGACCACACTTTCCAGCTACACTTCCTTCCTCTGTCTCCCATTTTTGCATTCCATCTGTCAATAATTATCAATGCACCTTGATAATTATCAATGCTGTCACGTCAGTTTCGACTCTGTCCATGACAGAGCAGAGCACTGCCAGCCCTGCGCCATCCTCACAGCTGTTATGTTTGAGCCCACGGTCGCAGTCACTGTGTGCATCTACGACATCCCTGAAGACGTGAGACAAAGTCTTACCAGTCTCACTTATAAGCAGCTTTCTGGCTGTCCTTCTTTTAGACAGATTTGCTTGTTTCTCTGGAAGTTTCCAGATACTCTATCTTAGAAGGGTGTTATAAGACAAAAGCAACTCCATGGTACTACTCAATTGTCACTACTTTGGGCAGTAGTTGGTGGCCCAGTGGTAGAATTCTTGCCTTCCTTGTGGGACACTTGGGTTTGACTCCCAGCCAATACACCTCATGTGCAGCTGCCACTCATCTGGCGTGAAGGTGGTTGCTCTAATGGTGAACAAGTTTCAGACGAGGTTCCAGACTAAGGCAGACAAAGAGGAACATTGTGGCCATCTACTTCTGAAAATCAGTTAGCGAACGAACATTCTCTGGATGATCAAAGTCTCTGGATGACACAATTGGTCATCAGGGCGGTGCACAAGTGGGCAGCATTTCGCTCCAATGTGTATGGCAAGGCCTTGAGCCAGGACTGGGCAGAGAGCAGCTCATCCCATCAAGTCCCTGCTCTCAAAGATCAATTCTCTAAGAAAAGCCCACTGCCCCTCTAGTCTCCCCACTCTACGTTGGTAGGAATATTAGAATGAGAGCACACCTGTAACGAAGGTGTTTGAGATGCAAACACATGAGGGGGACTGTTACTGTTGATATTTTTATTTCCACTGGATATGTTCTGAGTTAATGCCCTCCTTGTGGCCTGGCCTAAGTGTTGGCCCCGGCTGCTATCAGGGCCACAGGAATGGAACGGGGTATGTATGAGCATGCACGCCTACATACATACACACCCAGCAAGTCATTGGAGAGAAAGGTACTCTGACTCATAGCGACAACCTATCGGACAGGGTAGAATTGTTCCTATGGGTTTTGAGACGGTAACTCTATGGGGGTAGAAAGCGCCGTCTTTTTCCTGAGGAGCTGCTGCTGGTTTCCCATGGCTGCCCTGGCGGTGAGCAGCTCAGCACATCATCCACTGTGCCATCAGGGCCCCTCCTCTAGGGAAAGCACCCTGAATATGGACTTCCAGCCTCCTTGATGCTGGTTGTTAAAGCTACGCACTTGGTGTTCTTCCTGCAGCAGCACTACATCACTGGCACAGGGAGCTGATAGACCCATCACATTTATGACATGACGCCTGACAAAACGGGCAAATGGCTAACAGGGACTCCTGCAAACAAGCCCTGGATTTCATACATTGCAAACAGAAAAGTGGTAGCGTTGGTCTCAGGCCCAGCGCAAGCTCTCTGCCTGCTGTTTTAGAAGAAATTAGCTGGATGAAACGTTGGGAAAGAAAAAAGAGAGAAAGTGAGCGAGAGGATTTGCACTCTGCATTTCTAGCCATTGCTGTTAAGAGTGAACTTCACCCACGATGTAAGAGGTGCTCCAGTGGTTATTAGCTAACAACAATGGCTCTATGGATACATCCTGGATAGGTCAATGGGAGGTTCCCTTTGTATTCTCATTGGGATTTTGGCCAGACAAAGTTGGTTCGCCTTGGTCTACAGCCATCAGACAACAAAATCCCAATGAAGGAGCTTTAGAGGTAAAACATAGCTGAAGGGCAGGTGCATTTTGCTCTCTCAGGTTTAAACTAAACAAAGAAAAATTCAGTTATCAGACCCTGTCGGCCCAGAACTCGGATACTAGGGGTGATGGTTAGGGATTATGTCAACTAGACACTCTTGGGTAAAGGTAGGGCTGGGACTCCACCTAGCAATTATTGATGACATCTCCTTGGTGTCAGACGCCTTTCTGTATAAGAGAGAGAGACTGAGCAGAGTCTAATCCATTTTGGCCCCTCCACTTCTGCCAGAGCTGGAGCCGCTTCCAGGAGCCACCAATGGGCTACCGATGGTGGATTCATCTGGCCAACTCTGGACCTCTGCATCTACCAGCCTGTACCCCTGGCTCTCTCTGCTTCGCCATCCTGGTCTGGCTCCTCCGGCTCCTGTTGTGTCACCTGTCAGGCCCACGAGCCCTTAGTAGACTACAGGCAGCGGCAGATTCATCTGGCTGACTTCGGATCTCTGCATCCACCACCCTCGCCCCCTGCTACATCATCCTGCTTCCTGTTCATCAGCTTCTGCGAGTAGTCACCAGAAGCCTGACTTGACTGGCCTATTTCTACCAAGGTGCAGGCCATTTCTGGATCGAAATCTTTTTATGTACTTCTACAAGTGACAGTGGTTTTGTCACTCTAGAGAACCCCAACCTAACACACTTAGAATGAAGGAGAAGCTCACCAAATCGTTTTTGGTTGGGAAATTATCAGCAGCCAAAAGGCTCTCTTAAGAGAACCTAGAGCAGAAGCGTTACTTGTTTAAGGAGCAAGGAAGGGGATGTGAATAAAAGTAGAGAGGGCTTTCAGGATACTGTGAAAGCTAAAGACACAAAAGCGAATGTCAAGACTTAAATTGGGCCTCTTGTCCAGCAGGACAGACAGAGATCCTTGAGGAGAAGTGGTCTGGAAATTGCTGATCAAAAAATCTATCTAGAACACCAAACAAGGCAAGGGAGTGTTTCAAAAGATTAACAGCATCTTCCGTAAGGTGAGTAGCAAAACCAGCAGTCCCCAAGAAAGTTCTTTTCCTGCAAAAATCCCCTCATGCCCAAACAATGGCAACAAAAGCGAACACAATCCCGCTCTAGAAATACCTCAAGGATCTCTTCCTCAAGAAATAGGAAGAGCTTCCTGGACTCTCCTGCTGTGATCACTCAGTCGCCTAGGGCTTTTCCTATGAATTCCAGGGCCAGCCACAAGGCAGCAGGCATGCAAATGCCTGCCTCATTATGGGAGGGTCAGGTGGGGCGGGGCCAGTGGCGAGGGAGACCTGAAACTACATTTGAAGAGCATTTGACATGAACCTGAGACATCAACTTTCCATCTTCTCAGGTTCATGTCAAATACTCTATGAGAGTGTTTGCAAAGTGGAAGCCCAGAAACATGCCTGATGCCCCTTTAACCTCTCATCTTGGGGTTGCCACTACTTCTGCAGAACCCAGAACTCTGCACTGGTCTCGGAGACTCCGGTCTTGCTTGCCACTGCACATCCCTCTTGCAATGGTACGTGACATAGAGCAGAATGGAACGAGGGCTATGAACCACTGGCTGGGATAGGTGTTGGCACTGTCACGTTTGCCTTGTGTTAGTAAGTGGCACTAACAAATGTAAGTGGGCTGCAGCCGCCTGTGGCAGCTGGAGCAGTGATTCTAAAGAATGAATACAGAAGCCAAGAGTATCGCCCTGTCTCTTGAGCGAGGGTCTTTGGGAGAATGGCAACAGCAGCTCCACTGGCTACTTCGGACTTGGGGCCTTTCTGGCTTTGGAAGCGACTTTGACCATGAGCTGGACAGGACAGTACCATTCCCGGACCCACACGCATACCTTTCCTGGACCCACACGCATACCTTTCTTCCCAGCCTCGGGTGTTTGGGAAGGCTTCTCTTGGCCGGCCGAGGGCAGAGCCGGGGTAGAGGGCTTCCTTATCTGTGGAACCTCTTCCTCTTCACCCCTCTTCTGCCCCTTCCTTTCCCTGGGGGGTGGTGTCACGGGTGTCCGGGTGTCATGGCTCTCCTGGGCCTTCTCGCTGTGCTCCGGGTCAGGCTTGGCTGCTCGTCGGGCCAGCAGCTCCACCAAGTAGGGCCTGCTTAATTTGGAGAGTGGGGAGGACGGTGGGGTCTGGCTGGTGGGCTTGGGAGCCAGCGCTGGTTTCTGCAACAAGGGCATTTTGTTTGCTACCTTGTTGTGCTCTGCACCTGGGCTCTGGCCGTTGGATGGTGGGGGTCCTGGCAGGGCCGCAGGTGGGCAGTGTTGAGAAGGGGGTTCTGCAGAGTCCTTTCTGGTGGCCAGGGTCTGCTTCCTCTCTTGGGCGAGGGATGAGCCACGCTTGACGGTCACACCTTCGGTCCCTGTCTCTGCACTTGGGCTTGTGCCCTCTGGGGCAGGCGGGCCCCCGTCAGCACTTTCCCCCGAGCAGCTGTGCCTCTTCTTCTTCTTCTGTTCCGTCTGCTGGTCACAGTGAAAGCGCAAGGAGTAGTTGGTCCTCCTCAGCTTTATTCCAAAGGGCGAGGCTTTTTCCTCCCCTCCTGGCCCCGTGTGGTCTGACTTCTTGGTGGCACTCGGGGACTCACTTTCCGAAGTGCTCACAGGCTCTGCCTGCGTCAAGGCTCTGTGTGGAGGGGAAGGGAGGCTCGGAACTAGGAACGATGGGAGATCTTTGGCAAACTTGCATCCCTCGGTGGTGTCCGTGGGCTCCTGGGGCACCCCCACTTTCTCAGGGCTCTTCCAGGGCTCAGGAGTCTCCATAGGGGCGGGGGCGGCCGGCGGGGGCTCGGTCTCTTCGGCGGGACCTGGGCCTGATCTCCTCCGACCACCTTCTGCTGCTTCTGCGTTCTGTTTGGCGGTCTCCAGGCCGCCCTCGGAGAACTTCTGCCAGGCGGGCATGATGGAGAACTTGGCATTGCCCGGAGGGGTCTTCCGGAGGTTTCCTCGGGAATCACACCGGCCCCTGGGAGGGGGCTCCTCGCCGGGCCTCGGCTCGCTCTCGGCATTCTTCAGGATTCTGGACCGAATGGAAGCCCACTCGGCCAGCGCCGTGCCGCTGCTGGACGCGTCCTGCGGGGGCCTGGCCTTCCCTCCGCCCGCCCGGGGTTCGCCGGGGGCTCTGGGCAGGTTTTCCCCAGCGGGGAGCTCGACGGGCTTCTCCTCTGACAAGCCCAGCAGAGACTTGCAGGCCGTGTCCTGGATCTGGCTCAGGTTGACGGCTGGGCCGCAGAGCTGCGCCCCTGTGACCAGGATGGCCGTGTGGGGGATGCTCAGGGCCGAGGGCAGTGCGGGAGGGGCCGGGCTGGCTTGCTGGGTCTTAGGCTCAAGGGGCGCGGGCACAAGTCCCGCGTCCTTCCCGGGAGTCACTGGGCTCAGGTTGACTTTGGGGAAGAGGATTTGCTTCCCCCCAGAGGACACCTGGAAGGTGTAGGGCCTGGGCATGGTCTGCCTCTCGTCCACTTCCCGCCACCTGAGTTCCTCCACCTTCCGCTCAGCTTCTGCGGTGACCACTTCCTGCCGCTCCCCGCGAACCGGCCTTTTTTCCAGGTGCCCCTCTCGAGTCAGGGCCGCTTCCGGCTTAGGCTCCTCCCTCGTTTCCAGACTCACGTGGCGGTCGTCCCCTGGAGCGTGCGCGCGCCCCCGCTTGCCCCGCAGCTCCGTCGCCGGCTGGGGCCCCAGGCCAGGCTCCTCGGAGCCTGCTCTGGGCTTCCTGGGCCTCGCCTCGTCCTGTCCTCCGTGCTGGTCTTCATCTGGTCTCGGCGGGGCGTCCTGGGGCTTCTTCTCGGCTTCTGGCCTCGTCTGCGCTTCCAGGTCCGCCTGCCGTCGGTGCTCTTCCTGCCTCTCCAGCTCCTCCTGCCATCGCTGCTCCGCAGCCCGCTGGTCTTCCTCCTCCCGCAGCCGCTGCCTCTGCCGCTCCTCCTCCTCCTCCTCCTCCCGCCTCCGCTCCGCCTCCTCCCGCAGCCTCTGCGCCTCCAGCTGCTCCTGCCTGCACCGCTCCGCCTCTTCTTCCGCCCGCTTTCTCTGTGCCTCCCGCTCCTCCTCTTCCAGAAGCTTCTCAGCCTCCTGCCTCCTCCCCTCCTCCTCCTGTCTTCTGAGCTCCGCCCCGCGTTGGTCCTCTTCCTCCCGCCCTCTCTGCGCCTCCAGTCGCTGGGCCTCTTCTTCGCTCAGCCGCAGCTGCTCCTCTGCCTCCGGGAGTTCCTTCTCGGCGCTCTCCTTGCGCTCCGCGTCTGGGCCACCCAGCTCGGCCCTCCGCTGCGTCTCCGCTTCCAGCTGCCTGGTCCTCGCCCCTACCTCGGGCGCGAGTCCTGGCTCCTTGCGCTCCTCCTGCTCCCCGGCCTCCTCCTCCAGGAGCCTCCTCTCCAGGGCCTGCAGCCTCTGCTCCTCCAGGCGCCGCCTCTCGGCCGCCTCGGCCTTTTGCCGTTTGCACTTGGCCTCAAGCTCTTGCCAGTATTCTTCCTGGCGTCTTTTCTCCTCCTCAGAATCCAGTGGCTCTGGTTCCTCTTCCAGCCACATCTGCTTGTCTTCCCCGGGGTGGCCGTTCTGGTCCAGGGGCGCCTGGCTCACCAGGCCTGCGTACTCATTTTGTCCATCCTAACGTTGGAAAGGGAAAACCGGATTAGCGCTTTCATTCCCTGCCCTAGGTAACCATCAGTGAACCTATGGGACAAGGTAGAACTGCCCCCGGGGTCCCGAGACTGTAATTCTTTATGGGAGTAGAAAGCCCCGTCTTTCTCCAGCGCGGAGCAGCTGGTGGTTTTGAACTGCTGACCCTGGTGGCGAGCATCCTGGCAACTCGTAATCAGGTGCTTCACCAGGTCTCTTCAAAATGTCGCATACGGATAAACACAGACATAGGTTGCACTGTAATTGTGGGAATGGAGGAAAAACATGGTTTCACCTGATAACCCCTTTCTTTAAATGATCCCTGGTGGCGCAAGAGTTAAGCACTCAGCTTGGCAGTTAAGAGTCCACTGGAGACTCTGTAGGAGGGGACCCCTCCTGGGGGAGTTTGACTGCCTCGTGGGGTCACTATCAATTCACTATAGCATCTCAGAACCATAGTGACCTATATACATCAGCCTCAAGGAGCCCGGTGGTGTCCTAGGTGTCTCCTTGGGCAAGGTCAGCTATTCAAACCCACCAGCCACTCTGCAGGCGAAAGATGAGGCTTTATGCTCTGATAAAGATGCACAGCATTGGAATATCCTGATACCCGTGAACAAGAAGAGATAAACTAATACCAGTTCCAGGGCCAAATTGCTCTCAAACCCACTCGACCTCATGGCGCACCCACGTGTCAAGAATAGAACTGTACACCATACCGTTTTCAAAGGCCAGGTTCTTTTGAAAGCAGATAACCAGCTCTTTCTTCTGAGACTCCTCTGGGTGGACTGAAACCCCTAGCTGTTTGGCTAGTGGCCCGGCAAGTTCACTGTTTTACCACCCGGGTCACCCAGCATGAAGACGATGACAGAAATTGAGATTGGATGTCATCAATGTGCCCCGAAGCATAGGACCGAAAAAACAACCACCACCACCACCACCACCACTGAATCTATTTGGATTCTATAGCGACCCTCTAAAGGGCTTCGAAGGCAGTTAAAGTTTATGGGAGCAGGTAGCCTCAACTTCCTGTTGCAGAGCAGTTGGTGGATTTGAACTGCTGACTGTGCGGTGAGCAGTCCCAGTTTACCCTATGGCACCACTTGGCTCCTTGCGAAGCCAGGGCGGAGGAAAGGTGAGCCACCAGCTGCTGCCAATCAAACTCAGTATCTGGAGCCCCACCCAGGGCAGCCTCTCCCACTGTGGTCCACCAGCCTACCACAGGGGGACATCTCAGGAAGGCTCTGCAATATCAGCCAGCCCTCGTACATCGCCACGCACAAGTCCTCAATGGGGAGAGACCTGGTTCTCTCTGAGTCTACTACCACGCCTGCTTCTGGGGTAGAAGCCACGAACACCCAGGAGAAGGGACCTACCTGGTCCCTGTAGGCAGGGCTGTACCTACCAGGACAAGTCGCCTGTGCTTCTTTGACACCCTCTGCTTTTTTGGCTTGACGGACAGTTTGTGCTTGGCGGCACTGTTGTCCAGGCGAGCAATGGCCAGCGGGATGGCGTCTAGGTTGACACTTTCAATGGTGCCGGCAGAAGAGAAGTGCCTTTTTGGCCGAGACGGTTTCACGGGGGCAACCTAGGGGGCAAGTTGAAAGATGAAGTCAGCTCGGCTCAGACCCCAGAATCCCAGCATTTCCTGGAGCCTGCCATATACTGCCTGGCCCAGGCAACCCTGCGGAGCAGAGGGGCTGGGGCTCCTGTGTTACAGGGAATGAGCTCTGGGCTTGGAGTGAAAGGACCTGACTTTGAAAATGCACCCTGCCAGTGTAGTAGCTTGTCAAGGCCATTTAAACCTTCAGAGTCAAAACTTCCTACTCTGAACAGTATGGGGTTAGACTAAATCAACGGTTTTCAACCTGTGGGTCACAACCCCTTTGGGGGTTGTGTTAGACAGGGTTCTCTAGAGAGATAAAACCAAATTGCTGATAATATATTTTTTTTATAAAGATAATTAGATATATAACAATGAACTGTTAAATCATATACAGATAAATATATAATACAAGAAATGAACGGTTAAATTATAAAGCACTACAAATGGCTCACTGCAACTCACTCCCGTGAGAGAGAGTTGTGAGAGACCAGCAGTCCTTCAAGTCTAGTCTGCTGCCAGGTCTTCCTCTATTTATAGAGAGAGCTAGGCTATCTCAGCACAGCAGCCAATCACAAGGCAGGTCACCAACTGCCAGCCAGGTCACCAACCGCCAGTCCCCAGCTCCAGGGATGTCTTAAAGGGACCTCAACTTTCAGCGACACAGTCCACAGGCTAGGCATCCCACAGGTAGTGTAGCCTTTAAATTGAGGCACAGGACAAGCAAGGCAGCTGCACACTGGTCCGATGATCAAAGAGCGAGAGACAAGAAAGGCGAGGCTCACCGAGCCATTTATCTCTCTGCCCTTCAGTTAATCCCACTTGTGTTTATCGGCCAGGCTGGCACAATAAACTACCTCAGGGGTCGATCAACCCTTTCACAGGAGTTACGTAAGACCATCGGAAAACATGTTTCCTGATGGACAGGAACCAAGACACCGCTCCTCTATCCGTCTCAGGCGGGTCTGCCTACTTGCAGACACGCCCACATACGAGTACCCGGCGTGAAGACTGTTACCCCTGCTACACTACGCTTCAAGACAACATGTCATTTATTTGTCATTAGAAATATTTCATGATATATAATTACATACTGCTTTTGTGATGAATCACTGTGCTTTAATGATGTTCAATGTGTAATAATGAAAAATACTTCCTGCATCAGATATTTACATGATAATTCATAATGGTAGCAAAATTATAGTTATGAAGTAGCAGCAAAAATAATTTTATGGATGGGGGTCCCCACAACATGAGGAACTGTATTAAAGGGTCTTGGCATTAGGAAGGTCGAGAACCACTGGCCTAGATCATCCTTGTGTTGTTGCTCGCTGCCTTAGAACCCATGCATAAAGGAGCAAAATGATGATGAGTCCTCCAGCCTTGCACGGTGGGTCACAGATCGAATGGTTTTGCGCCATGGGGCTTTCGTTGGCTGCTTTAAGCAAGGAGCGTGCCGCGTCTTCGTTTCTAGTCTGTCTTAGGCTGGAAGCTCCGCTGAAACCTGTTTGGCATCAAAACAGCCCCACAATCTTCCACGGATAGTTGGCCGCACATGAGGTGCACAGGCTGGGACTTGATGGAAAGGGTCTCCTGATGGAAGCTGAGAGTTCTGTCACTGGCCCACCACCGTCCCCTTAAGCTAGATCAAGGGGGCCACATCTTGCCCTTGGTCTGTTTGGCAAATGCAGTTTCACCGGCATGCATGTTGTCCTATATTCTCAGATTGGAGTAGTTGTGTGTTTGCGCACTATTGGTTCTGCAAAGCCTAAAATATTTAGTCCTCCACGTGGAAGAAGCACACCAGCCAGTGTGATCTAAGAATTGCAAAGAATAAAATCCAAATCTGAAGGAGGGATTGGTATCAGAGCTTAAATTCTGAATATCCAGTTTGCAGAAGGCTGTGGATGACAGTGGAAGCCCAAACCCATTTGCGGGGTCCCCACATGGGTTAAGCCCCTGGTGAATCCCCTCTGCACATAGTCCAGGGGTGTGACTAGCCTTGTTATCAGACAGAGAACATTAGAAAGTCAATTATGGCACGTGTAGTTAGGTTAAAATGTAATACCTTATCATTTGATCTACCTCTGGACCCATTTTGAAGTTGTTTCATTTTCAATATTTTCTGCTTTCTTTTCGATTGAGGTGTTTCTCTGTTTTCTTTTGTTTCTTTTGTGGGTGAGGGGGTATGCTTTTCTGTGTGTGAAATCCATGTTGCGTGGATCTATGGGCACAGCACTGAATTAATGGTTACCTGGTGGCATGGTGGGGGAGGGGGAGGAAATGGGGAGCCAACCGCAATGAGTACAAGAAGAAAATGTTCTGAAATGGACTCTGGTGATGACTGCATAGCTGTTCTTAATGTGGTTGAATGATTAAATTGTAACGATACATGCCAAGAAAATGATTTTTTTTTAATCCCCAAAAAACTATTTTGTGTTTTGCTGAGACCCAGACGAGATGGTCTCTAAGAACTCTTAAGAGCCTTCCCACTACCTGGGACCTTGTGTGCACACACCTGTCTTCCAAACAAAATGTCACCCCTTCAAAAGCAGGGAGTCTTTGTATCGGCCCTCTTGGTGCCCTGGCAGCGAATCTCCCTTAGTAAGTGCTCAATAAACACGTACTGCAAGACGGGAAGCGCAGTCGAGGCTAACAGCTACGATGAGGACAAGACGTTTTTAAGAAGCAAAAATGTCTTAAGCACCACGACTCCCAAGTCACAGAGCAACGCGTGCGCGCGCCCAGCAGTGGAAAGAAACAGGACCTGGTGACTAAGTGCAGGCAGTGCACAGCTGTGCCAGTGTGGCCGAGGGCACTTCTTCCGAGGATGAGGTTGCGGGGCGAGGGCAGCTCCAGATGCAGTTGTGTTAGCTGTCTTGGAACCCATGCACAAAGGCACACACCCTCAGTTGTGCACGCTTAGAATGTCAGGGACATCACGGCTCAGCCTGTACCCAGCGGCCACACTGAAGAAGGTGGCGAAAGGCCTGTCACATGAGAGAACAAATCCAGGGGTGCAGCGAGGAAAAGGCTCCTAGTCCGGCAACACCTGGGTGCCCCAGGGGGCGCCCGTCTGGCCACGCTGGCGACTCTGCAGGACACAGGGGCAGCAAAAGTGTCCTGTTTGCCTCTGTTCCGCTCCTGCTCCAGGAGCAGCCTCCCTGGGGTCTAGCTGAGGGCCAGTGTTTCTGCAATTGCCTTCCAAATGTAGGTACCGAAGATAAAAGGCCAAGCCAGCTTTGGGAGCCAAGCAGACTCTCAGTAAATATTAATTGGTGACGGCGGTGCCCAGAAGTTCAGGGAGGAAAATAAATCCAGCCTTTGGCCTTCTAGCGAGCTCTCATTTATTTATGACTATCTTTCCAATCGCTGTCAAATTCTGACCTGCTGTTGAAAAGGGATGAGTTAAACATTTAGTCCCACCCCTTCAAGCATCCAAGGACTTGGAGCCAGCCGTGGCAGATGGAAGCACAGATCAGCAGGCGAGGGCTGAGCTTTAAATGCTGTGTTTCGTTCCCGAGTTAGTCCAGCTGGGCCTCTTTATTGTCGGAGCCGTGGCGCTGTCTTGGGCCACAGCTTCACAAGACTCGGGGCAGCCCCTGCTCAGGGTCCTGTCTGCCAGATGGCGGGAGGAGGCCTGGATGCCTGTGGGCGGGAGACAAGTTCTCCTAGGAGTGGATTAGTCTCCACAGAAGAGGGACACACAAGTTTCCAGAGGGTTCCCCAGACTCCTGCAGGTAACATCCCAGTTTAAAATGAATACAGAAAAGGGTTTGTTTGTTTTCAGCAAAAAACATGAAAGGTTTTTTTTGATGTTTTTCTTTTTCAAATCTCTAAATAGAAGGGGACTCTCTTTCATTTGAGTTGGCTCCCAGTAAACACCCATGGAAGCAGCAGTCAAGAAATCAAAAGCCCTATCACTTTGGGCAAGTCTGCATGTGATCTCTGTAAAGCAGCGGTTCTCAACCTGTGGGTCGCGACCACTTTGGGGGTCAAACGGCCCCTTCACAGGGGTTGCCTGATTCATAACAGTAGCAAAATTACAGTTATGACATAGCAATGAAAATAATGTTATGGTTAGGGGTGGTCATCACAACATGAACTGTTTTAAAGGGTCGAGGCAATTTAGGAAGGTTGAAAACCACTGCTGTAAAGCGTTGAAGGGCAAGACGTCACTTTGAGGATCAGGGTGTGTCTGGCTGCTGCCATGGTATTTCCAGCAGCGTCTGACACGTGTGGAGGTTGGACATTGCATAGGGAAGATGGAAGCAGTAGTAAGGTGCTGGCCAGAAGAACCAAAGACATCGATCTTGGAAGAAGCACAAGCAGAATGTTCCTCAGAAGTGAGGCTGGTGAGCCTGTGTCTCGTTGATTTTGGACCTGTTCTCAGGCGGGACCAGTCTCTGGACATCGGCTTGGTCAAGTGCAGGGGCACCAGACAGGAGGGAGGCCCTCAAGGAGATGGACGGACATAGGGTCTGCAGCAGTCCTCACACAGGATGGCTACGAGCTGTTGTGCTCAGTTGTGATGGCCTGTGGCAGTTACACACTCTCCTGTGAACTTGAGCGCAGGGGTGGAGTCTAGCCGGTCTATCAGTTCACAGCCAATGGGACCTCTTTGTGGGCGTGGTCTTCTGAGGATTCTGGAACTCCTGTCTTCCTCTCTGCTCCACATTCCTGTTGACAAGTTCCATGGGGACACACTGATGGAGCCAGAGCCCTGGAGCTGGAGGAGCCAGGTGGGGACCCACACCAGTGCTGAGATGCTTCCATGGCCACTGGACCCACAAGACTTTGTACTCACTGGCCTGTGATCATCCTGCACTTGGCGTCATTGTATGTGTTGCCTGAGTCTGAAGAGGAATTTATAGATTGGTATGGGACATATGGGCTACTATCGGACTGATGGACTTGATCTGGGCTGGGCTGGGATGTTTTCTTCATAGACAATTGCTCTTGTATATAAAGCTCTTTCTTGTACACATGAGTGTGTCTATGAATTTGTTTCTTTAGTCAACTCGGACTAACACCTGGCCCCTAACAACAACAAAAATGACAGGCACCACACACAGGCAAGCTGGTGGTGCGGCTACCTTTCAGAGCTGAGTTTGCTTCCAGTGGTTTGGGGGAGGCTTCTCCCTCTGCCACAGAGCAGCATGCTGAAGGGACTGAAGGCCATGGCCCAGGGATGCTGCTTCAGACACGGAGAGGGAGGCCAGAGGTGGCCACAACAAGGACAAAGAGAAGTTAAAGTCAGGAAGCGAAAAGAAATCGGCACAAACCGCCTTACCTTCTCCTCCATCTCATTTCCGGCTGCAGACAGAGTCAAAGGACTGAGAGAACTTGGCGCATCACTGGACTGGAATAACAGAGAGAGCGCTCAAGTCAAACACAGGAACAGGAAGGTCTGGGCAAATCACCAGGTGTCAGGGCCACCCTCGCACCCCTGCACCAGGGTCAACCTGCGGCCAGGAGCCAGCAGGAGTCACAGGACACCTTGAGAATATGCAGACTCTGGAAGGACTACCTGAGGCATGGAGGGCACTGTCCTCTTCCTCCGGTGCAGCCCAGGCCCCTCCCCTGGGCAGGCTCCAGCACACTGCCTGAGGCTTTACACTGAAGCCCATGGACTGCTGTGGCTCAGGACCTCCCTTCCTGGAAGGGCCATGCCACACGCACTGCCTCCACCCTCTGCGTGCACGCCTGCGCTTCTGCAGGCGGGCAGCCTTCACCCGCCTCCACCTGCCGGGACCGCTCACTTGTAAGCCACCCTTCCCATCCACCAAGGCCAAATGTGCCAGCCAGGGAGAGCTCAGAGGGTGAAAGTTCTAGACGAGGGCAAAGCTGCCAGGAGGGAAAGGCAGGCACAAGGCTTGGCGAGCTACAGTCTGCCCTCGGAAGGCCCTCCTGTTTAAAGACACGCTGGGGGCGCTGTGGCTTAGGCATTAGGCGGCTAACCACAAGCTTGACGGTTCGGTTCGAACCCATCAGGAAGACTGTCTGCCCACCAGTTAGCGATTTACAGTCTCAGGGTGGCTGTGAGTTGGAACGGGTAAGCACAAAGCTGCTGAAAGGCTGGCAGTTCGAAGCCACCCGGCAGTGCCTGTGGGGGGAAAAGATCTGCTTCTGTCAGGATTACAGCCAAGAGAACTCTACGGGGCAGATCTGCTCTGTCCACAAGCTAAATGGACTTGGTAGCCCCTAACAACCACAACGTACACATTCTGTCTTGTGCTGCTGGTCCTCCCCCAAGGGGTCTCACCGTTGTCACAGATGAGAATCGTCTGCTGGCCCTGCCTCAGTCTCTTCTGAGTGCCATGTGCAGAAGGGTCTTTGTAACACAGGGCAGTACTGAACTGTGTCTTTCTGCCCCGTGCCTGTGGCCTAGAAGCTGGCCTGTCTGATCGGTCCTGCCTCACGGAGCCCTGACTTCTTCTTATTGTCATTTCCCTTTGCGTTAGTCCAGGAGCCCTGGTGGTTGCGAGTTGGGCTGTGATCCGCATGGTCGCCAGATCAAAACCACGAGCAACTCCTCAGGAGAAAGACCGGGCTTTCTACTCCTGTGAATGGTCATGATCTCGGAGACGCGCCGGGGCCACGATGAGTCGGCCCTGACTCGATGGCAGCAAGTTGGGCTTTTTGTTTTGTTCTGCTTTACGTTCGTCATTCCTCAGGAGCCCTTAGCACTGGCTAAGTCTCGGGGTGTGGGTGCCGTCCATGCGTTAGACCCAGTGTGTCCTCATGGAACTCAGGTTGAGACCCGGTGTAGACAGAGGTGTGGCTGGCTAACAGGGGCCTGGGCACCCCGTGTTGAGTCGGCAGGGAAGACAGTGCTGCATGGGGAGTGGGGCCAGGGTCAGGGGGAGGTGCCTGGAAGAGCCCGTGCGAAGGCCATCTCTCTGCT